CCTACTTGCATTCACTTTCTAGCAGTCGTCTGAGGAAATTTAGCCCGCTGTTTTGGATTCCTTCTTGCATTGTTTGACTTAGGGCTCGCTTCATAAGGTGAGTAGGGTTACCATATTTCCAGTATGGTTACCATATTTCCAGTTTCAAAAACGAGGACACCTGTCAGGGGTGGTGGTGGGGTTAATATTATTGTGGTGGGGGGGCAGTGATATGCCCATGCCCTACCCATGCCCCTCACTCCCAAGCCACAGCCCCCCCATCCCTGCTGATACCCCTCACTGCTGGCCCTGCTTATGCCCTGTGCTCCCGTCCCACAGTCCCCCACCCCCCAGAGACCTACTCCTGCCTCTTAGTCCCAACCACAGTACCCTACGCCCCAGACCATGCTGGTATCCTTCATTCCTGACCTGCAGCCGCCTGCCCCCCTAACCCTGCCGCACACGTAGTTCCCTGCTACCCCTGAAGAACCCCCCTCCCCACCCCTCCCCCCCGCTGGAGGGGCAGCCATCTCCCTTGCCTCTCCACTGTGCTGCAGCCCTAGTGCCCAGATTTCCCCAGCACCAGTGGGCACCTGCCCCCCTCAAATCCCCATACACATGCACTCCCCAAGCCCTGACCCTCCAACCCCCACCCCTCACAGACTTACCGGCCTTCAGCTGCCAGTGTACGCACACAGATGCACGTGATGCCCTTGCCTCCAATTGCCCTCTCCCGCTCCCTCAACCCCACCAGCTCCTTCCTAAGGCAAGCTGGGAAGTGCCAGGAAAAACTTCATTGCTGAGCAGAACAGAATCCTAGATATTTAAAAAAACAAAACAAAACAAAAAAACAAAACAAAAAAAAAAGCAAAAAAAAACCCCCGATGGAGATGGGAGGACCCAAAAAGAGGACATGTCTGGGAAAACCCAGACGTTTGGTAACCCTAAAGGTGAGAGACTATGAATGACTCTCATCAGGCGTAGTCTTGGCCTTGGCCTTGGTTTTAATGTTGACAGGTACCTTTTAGTCAAGGCTCTGTTGATGTCACTAGACTTGTTTGTTCTCATCCAAATCACATTTTAACTCATCTAAGCCGCCTCCTTTGTATAGTGATATCACAGTAGTGTGTAGTTCTTCCCTGTGACAGGAAGCTCTGCCACCAGGACACTGAAGGAATGATGAAACTTGACATCCTAAGTAACAAACAGGGCCTATGCTTCAAGGGATTAACAGATGAATTGAAGAGCGGTTATGGAGGTCTTCCTGGCTTTTTGCCAGATGCTAAACATAGGACCAAAATACTGCTTCGGCTAGAGAAACCTTTGGCTGCCGGTGCTACAAATGATATTACAAGGTTTATAAAAAGATT